CCTTGAGCATTTAAAAAGGATGGCTGTGATTACTAAGAGCCAGCATGGGTTTCTCAAGAACAAGTCATGTCAGACTAACCTTATCTCTTTTTTTGAGAAAGTTACTACCTTGCTGGATCAGGAGAATGCTGTAGACAGTTTATCTTGATTTCAGTAAGGCCTTCGATAAGGTTCCACATAATATCCTTATTGACAAACTGGAAAAATGTGGTTTGGATCCTATGACTGTTAGGTGGATCAGTAACTGGTTGACAGATCACACCCAAAGAGTGAACGTAAGAACATAAGAGAAGCTCATGTTGGATCAGGCCAATGGCCCATCCAGTCTAACACTCTGTCACAGAGTGGCCAAAAATACCAGGTGCCACTGCCATCAGGAGATCCAGCAGTGGGGCCAGGACACCAGGAGTCCTCCCACCATTGACCCCCCAAGCACCAAGAATACAGAGCATCCCTTGCCCCGGAGTCCCTATCTATACCTTGTGGCTAACAGCCACTGATGGACTTCTGCTCCATATGCTTATCTAATTCCCTCTTGAAACCGTCCATGCTTGTAGCCTCCGCCACCTCCTGTGGCAGTGAATTCCATGTGTTTGTGAATGGTTCCTCATCTTCGTGGAGAGGAGTGACAAGTGGAGTGCCTCTCAAGGGTCTGTCCTGGGACCTGTTTTGTTCAACATCTTTATCAATGATTTGGATGAAGGAATAGAGGGAACACTTATTAAATTTGCAGATGATACTAAATTGGGAGGGGTAGCAGCAAATACGATAGAAAGAGTCAGGATACAGGATGATCTTGACAAGCTGAAAACTGGACTAAAACAAATAAACTGAATTTCAATGGGGATAAATGTAAAGTTCTGCATTTAAGTAGGAAGAATCAAATGCATAATTATAGGTTGGGGGAGACTTGACTTGGCAGTAGTATGTGCAAAAAGGAACTAGGGGTCTTAGTAGACCATACTCTGAACATGAGTCAGCAGTGTGATGTGGTAGCTACAAACACAAATGCGATTTTGGGCTGTATCAACAGAAGTACAGAGTCCAGATCACACAAAGTGATGATAGCACTTTACTCTGCTCTGGTTAGACGTCACCTAGAGTACTGTGTTCAGTTTGAGGCACCACAATTTAAGAAGGATTTAGACAAGCTGGAACGTGTCCAAAGGAGGGCAATGAAGATGGTGAGAGGTCTGGAGACCAAGTCCTATGAGGAAAGGTTGAAGGAACTGGGTGATATGATAACCACCTCAGTGGAACAGGCTTCCTCGGGAGGTGGTGGGCTCTCCTCCTTTGGAGAGCATCTGACAGCCATGCTGATTCTGTGAACTTAGGCAGGTCATGAGAGGGAGGACGGGAAGGGTTGCCTCAGTGCTTAGTTCCTAGGGCCCTTTCTTACATGCCCAGGGAAGTGCTAACCGCCAGTTTCAGGCCAGGAGGCGATTTTTCTCCAGGGCTGCTGCAGGGCTTGGGAGGCCATTCTCATCCCTGCCCTTGCGAAGAACTGAAGTCCTAATGAAACACATTAAAGCTACCACCACCACCACCACCACACCAGAGGCATTCCACCTGGCTCCATGGAATATTTGTCTATAGCCAGCTGCCATTGATTTCAGGCCTGACCTCCTGAAAATCAAACCATGGAAGAGGTAGAGAACACTCTTCATGGGATTTTTCAACATGGTGAGCCAGCGTGAACTCCAGGAGCAAGGGACCCCAGACTTCAGCTGGAACTGGAAAGTCCACTTTAGCCACACGTGAGGTTAGCGGAGGTACAAGCGGACAGGATAACCTGTTGGAGAGGAGTCCAAAGAGCCTCCCACCCACTTCGGCCTTTGCAGCCCTGAAGCGGCAGCTCTGGCATCCTCTGTCTCAAAAAAGGCAAAACGGCTGAGCCCCCTCCTGCCCAGGAAGATTTCAGGCAGAAATCTGGTGGGGGGCCGGCCCACCTCCTCCAGCCGAAAGCTTTAGCAGGCACCTCCGATACTGACCGGGCCCACAGACTGCAGCAAGGGTGCCTCCCCCCCTTCAGCCCTCTGCACTACTCTGCTTGCCTTCTCTGTTCTCCTCCCACTTGAGGAGAGAAACCAGAAGAGCCCCCACGTCCCAGCCAGGCCTCTTGGAAAGCACTCTCCCCCCCCCCCCCCCCGGTCCTGGGGAGGGAGCTGTCTGGGTCTCCCAGCAGAACATGCCCCTCATGCGGGCCTTGATGCCCACCCCCGCCTGCTTTTGGCGCTTAAGGCGTCAGGTCACTAGATTTCCAAACAGGCCTACACGGCAGTCAAGGGTGTGCATTTCACCCACACTGGCACGGTTCCTCAGAGAGGCAATGGAATCCAAAGGAAGGGCCACACTGAACTGGCTAAAATGACCCCCCCCCCCCACCAGCCCTTTCCAAACCCCCCCCGGCTGCACCCCCAGCAGAGGAGAAAGCAGACACACCCCACATGGCAAAAGCTCTCCTCTCTCTCGCAGTTCCCTCTCCAAGGCGGAAGCCCTCCCAGCTGGGTCAGAGCAGGCCCCATCCTCCCCCAGGCACACAGCAGCAGGAGCAGGGGCGGCAGGAGCGGGTGCCTCCCGCATTCCCTGGCCCTGGCAAGGATGCTTCCAGCCACTGGCTTCTGTTTCAGGCCTGCCTGCCTGCCTGCCTGCCAGCTGTCCAGAGTGCCCGGGGCCTTGGAGCCCGGGAGGAGTCCAACCCGCACCCTGCCCAGAAGCTCACTGGGCGACCTTGGGCCCCGTCCGCCCCACGCGCGCCAGGGCACAGCCTCCCCCGCTCACCCCCGGACAGCGGTGGCAACCAAGCAGAGCCCGGGAAGCAAGCAAGCAAGCAGGCGGGGGGCCCTGGGAGGAAAGCGGAGGGGGGAGGAGGCACCTGGGGGGGGAGGGGACGACCCCGGAAGTCCCCCAGCAGCAGCAGCAGCAGCATCAACACCCCCCCCTTGCCGGGACCAGGGGGCCCCGGGGGGGGGAGGCCTGGCCCCCTGCTCCCCTGAAGGCCCAGCAGAAGGCCCCGGGGCAGGGACCAGGCCGACCCGCCCCACCACAAGTGTCCAGGCTGGAGCCTCCCGGAAGC